CAAACAAATAATGTATATAAAATGTATGGCGTTTCCAATCTCACCACTGTTCACCACAATCAGTCAAAACATTAATGTGAATGACGCATGACAAAGTGACTTTGACAGCACACGCATATGAATTGATGTCATGTTTACAGTCGGAAACGTCAATGCAAAATCTCCAGTATCCAGTTTCAGTCTACTTTATTTTTACTTGGTTTTTTGCTTTTTCATGCAAATCCATGTGACGACCGGGTCAAAAGTAGTGAAAAATGACCAAAGAAACTCAAAATAGCAATAGAACATAGCTACTTCGGACTATTTTTGGGTCCAAACAGGTAAAAGTATCATTTTTCGTATATATCCTGAAAATTTAACTTTTGAATGCGGAATTTAAGTATTTTTCACGCAAAAAACGTAAATCAGTAAAGAAAAGCAAGCACTTTGAACCATTTTTGAGTCGTAATATGCAAAAATATGATTTTATGAGAACCCTCAGTATCTAACTTTCACATTTTGTGTGAAATTGTAATAAAAAATCCCGTTTTTCGGCAGTTTGTTTATCTTAAACCTCTAGCTAGCTGCTAGCCTCAAACTAAGCACAAAAAACCATATCTTTTGCATGTTTTTAAGAATTGTAGGCCAGCGCAAGATTTAGATTGGTAAACGAGATTTTATGGAGAAAAAACCCATTTGTGATATTCCAAACGTCACGAAACTTTCTGTATCTGTTTTTTTCACCAAAAAACTTAATCCCTGAAATTTTGAAGGCAATAGGAAGTGATTTACGGGTACCTCCCATACAAGTTTTCATATTTTCTTCACAAAATTGACAACAAACCGAAAGTCATGCAACTTGGTGACGTGCGTGCGGCAAACGAAACTGAACAGGCCAACCTGTTCGCTAATTTCTTCAATAGCAACTACGATGACTCAACGACTCAAGGCGTTCAACAATCACCTACCGATGAGTCACAGCAAACTGAGGAATTTCAGCTCGATATTAATTTTGTGCTCGAAGAGCTACAAGCCGTAAACACCAAGAAAGGTACGGGTCCCGATGGTATGCACCCGTTGATACTAAAGAATTGTGCGAGTCATTTGGCGGCTCCACTCACCGAGATCTTCAATGAATCATTGTCAGCTGGCCATTTCCCTGACAAATGGAAGCCCTCGAGTGTATCACCCATTTTCAAAAAGGGGGCGAGATCGAAGATTGAAAACTATCGTTGCATTGCTAAGCTCCAAACTGTGGCGAAGTTCTTTGAGCATTTAGTGAACGCAAAACTTCTGTCTCTGGTACAGGACAAAATCACCAAAAAGCAACATGGCTTTATGAAGTCCAGATCCACTGCATCTAATCTCACCGAATTTACCTACTATGCCCAGAGAGGCATAAATTCAGATGCGCAACTGGACGTTCTGTTGTTCATCAATGACATAGTGGACGAAATGGACGACGTGTTCATTCCGCATTTTCATTCATGCTATCGCCTTATGAGCAATTCGAGGCCTAACTGTGCTTTTTAGCAATTGCAACCATCGATGTGTGCGACGGTGCATTACCGTCCAAAAAGAGGATTTTTTTCTTCTTCATATGGGGCCGTTTCGATGCGATTTCGACCACCAATCGATTCAACGATGCAGCAGTAATATGCGCCAGTAATCGTCCTTCTTTTTTGGAGGTAGTCGATGAAAATTATTCCGTGCGCATCCCAAAACACACTGGCCATTACCTTCCCCGCCCATTGTTGCGTTTTTGGCCTCTTTGGCGGCGGTGTTCCCTTCACTCTCTAGCCTGTTGACTGGGCTCCGGAGTGTAGTGATGGATCCAAGTTTCGTCCATCGTCACTAATCGACGCAAAAACTCACTCCGGTCGCGGTTAAAATAGGTCAAATTGGTTTGAGAAGTGGTTAAACGAATGCGTTTTTGTTGAATTGTCAGCAAACGCGGCACCCATCTTGCGCATAGCTTATTCATATGCAAATGTTCATGCAATATGTTAAGCACCCGTTCATATGAGACGTTTACAGTCTCAACTATCTCACGCACTTTCATTTTCGGATGATTTAACACCAGATCATGTATTTTGTCTATCATTTCTGGGGTAGTAACCTCATTTGAACGACCTGGGCGAGCTGCGTCTTCGGTGCTCGTGCGACCACACTTAAATTCAGTAAACCACTTGTGGACCATTTTATGAGATGGTGCGGAGTCCGGATAATACTTTTTAAGCGCCACTTCGGTCGGGGCGATGGTTTTTCCACGCAAAAAATAGTGTTTAATCAACACACGAAATTCACTTTTTTCCATGTTTACACAAATGTTTGGAGGTTGGTTGCTTCAAAGTGCTATAACTCATGAAATAATGGTCGGTTTTGGCTCCAATTTTGACAGCTGTCTTTTGAAGGATGGTACTTGTCAAAAACCAAAAAGATTTTGTATCAGTGTCTCCCTCTCATAGAAAAGTACCTGACTTTATCAATCCACCTAGTATGGTGAAAATAATCCGTGTGATAAATGTGGCATATTTCAACAAATTAACGAAGAATTTGATTTGAAAAAATATATACTTCGTGAATTTCCGACGATCTCTGCAAAGAAAGACATATCATTGAACAGATGTGCAATCGAATCCACGGGTCTTTTGCCTGAGAAGTTAAAATTGGGAAATCCCACTCCAGGCAAACCCAATGATTGCACCGGACCACACTTCTTACTAGAAGATTTTATTATAATTAAGAAAATTGATTTTGAAATGAATTTGTTCCGCAATTTTCCTTACAAAAATTAGATTTTACCCCCTCAATTTTATGGAAAACATTTGGAATTACCCCCCTACATTTTGATTGAAATTGGAAAAGAGCATCATTCCTATTGTAGCGAAGAATCGTGCTTTTTGATAGATGTACTAAATTGAATGTTTTCAATGTCGCCATCTGTTGTTGGTGATACAAATATCTTATCACATGGTTCTGATGAAGATTTTATTTATTGTTTATACAATTTTATTCAAAATCACTTTTTCATTCATAAACTCAATTCAGAAAAGAAATCAGAGTTATTTCAACAGTCGAGTTATTTTGTATGCAAAATGCCTAAAACATAAGAGTGAGAAAATTGTCATCATCAAGTTTACATGGCACGACCAATTTCAAGTAATGCAACTTTGTTTTGAAAACACTAGTACAAAATAATAAATGGCAAATCATTCTTTTGTCTCTTTGTGGACATTAATTCCCACATTTTCGATAGAAAGTGAATTTTTTCACACAACTCATAATTTCACAATCACGTATTTAGTACATTTCATTGTTCAATACCGATATTGAACACACCCTAACATCAGCAATGGTATCTGTCAAACTTTACGCTCTGAAAATGACGTTCATAGCAAACATTTAAAAACAGTCAATATTTTATTTTTTTTAATTTTTATTTGGGAAAACTAACATAACATTCACTTTCGAAATCATACCAAATACTTGAGTTCATTTTTACGGATCTAACGAAATATTTGAAAATTGTCGTGCCGAGGTGGTGTTGAGACTATACAATTCGGTTGTATCGTTTCGGCACGACCATTTTCAAATACTTGAATTCATTTTTACTAGGGTTTAAAAACGCGTTATTTTTTTCAGTGTTTCTTAAAAACGTTTTTTTACAGAGCCGTTATATACCGCCCAAAAAACGTTTTTTTCGTTTTTTATCGTTATTTCTGCGGTATTTTGGACTGTCAAAAAAAACACTACAGAAAAATAACGTTTTTATAACACCGTTTGCGGTATTTGTCGAAACGTTTGTAAACCCTAATTTTTACGGATCTAACGAAATATTTGAAAATGATCGTGCCGAAACGATACAACCGAATTGTATAGTAACAGCACCACCTCGGCACGACAATTTTCAAATATTTCGTTAGATCCGTAAAAATGAACTCAAGTATTTGGTATGATTTCGAAAGTGAATGTTATGTTAGTTTTCCCAAATAAAAATTGAAAAAATAAAATATTGACTGTTTTTAAATGTTTGCTATGAATGTCATTTTCAGAGCGTAAAGTTTGACAGATACCATTGCTGATGTTAGGGTGTGTATAATATAATATCGGTATTGAACAATGAAATGTACTAAACACGTGATTGTGAAATTATGAGTTGTGTGAAAAAATTCACTTTCTATCGAAAATGTGGGAATTAATGTCCACAAAGAGACAAAAGAATGATTTTCCATTTATTATTTTTTACTAGTGTTTTCAAAACAAAGTTGCATTACTTGAAATTGGTCATGCCGTGTAAACTTGATGATGACAATTTTCTCACTCTTATGTTTTAGGCATTTTGCATGCAAAATAACTTGACTGTTGAAATAACTCTGATTTCTTTTCTGAATTGAGTTTATGAATGAAAAAGTGATTTTGAATAAAATTGTATAAACAATAAATAAAATCTTCATCAGAACCATGTGATAAAATATTTGTATCACCAACAACAGATGGCGACATTGAAAACATTCAATTTAGTACATCTGTCAAAAAGCACGAAAAGGTTTCAGGTTCTTTGCGATATTGTTCCTTATTTGAGTAAATTTTCACTATAGTGAATGCGAAAACACTTCTGAACTTCGTATTCAGTGATAATACAGCGTTATAGCATCACTTGAAACGATATCATCCTTTTTGAGTGGTAAATCTACGCACAGGAGCGTCACTTCGTCTAGAGGTTTTTCAACTGATACTAAATAGACGTTGCGATTGTCGCAAACAGTGAAACGGCAAGCGAACTTCGTTCATAGCAAAGCAAGCATAATGAATTTATGCCGTAGCAAAGCGTAAACAAAAATTTATAACTGACATTATTTGTAACATATGCCGCTTATTGCGTAATTACAGAAGGCACTTCCAAAAGTGTCACCATTGTGGGAAAAATTCTCTTCTTCAGCTCTTGGAACCAACAAAAATACCACTTTGTTTATTAAAATCCGAATCATATAGTTTTTTAAAGATTAACTTAGATATACCTTGCAATTCGGGGGCATTCGAGTTGGCAGCCACGATACCTTATCAGCCGTTCCAGTAAGTTGGTCAATTGAATCAAGGAAAAAGAAAAGTGGTTGCATTGAAGAAGCGTAAGTAAGCAAATGCTTGAAGTGAGCAGTCAATGGAACCAAATCATCCGGTATATTCTCAAATGGAAGCATAAAATTATACGAAATCTATAATACAAATAAATCATTATTTTTGGATTTTCAAACTGAACAGAAATTCAGGAGAAAATGTTCATTAAACATCTTCAACTCCGGAGAAAAAATCTCTCTCTTAGGATTTATTTTTATTTGACCTATATAATACATGCATTTGAGCTCAATAAAAGCGATTAAATATTTTTAGATTCATGCTTAGGCCAGCTAATACATTTCCTCAATTTTAGAAGAAATCCAAGTAAATTGTATAACCTGTTGACAAATCGAAATCAATGTTGGAGTCAGTGCACTTGAATCGGGCGTAGTTCCCAAAAAACGGACTATATTGATTGGTTTATAATCTTTGAACCAGTTTGTTAACGCCAATGAAGCACTTTTTGCCAATAATGAAGTTTTACCACAGCCTCCCTATTTCAGTAGAAATTTGAAATGGTTCTTTTATTGATGAATTTCATCATATTTTGACTGAATTCGACCACGTACCTCACCATAGAGAACTAACGGTTTTTCTGAATAATTAAGCATGTAGTTTTCTATACGCTTTAAAGACTCTTCTCGTCCATAAAAAACTTTCACTGAATTGTTACAAGCATGTAAGTGTTGCAGAATTTCTGTCACAATTTGTCCTTGAGCGCTTGAATCTTCTTTGCGCATTGCACGGTCTACCAGTTTAATAATGTTTTTATAGAAATGTGCGATGAAGTTGTTCAAATATTCTTCATGTGTTTCGGTGTCAACGCCTTCTCTTCCAATCCATTCCACAGTATACCTACATCATTTAAAGAGGTATATAAGATAAACAATACATTTGTAAAATTTCTACAATATAAGTATACTTTTGGATATTGGTCGTCTCAATTTTATTGGGCAAACGTTCATCTCGCAGATTTGCAAGCAATTTCGATGCTTCGGTGTCCAAGCTACGATTAATAATATCAACGAAAAGTGATGCTTTTTTCAAATTTTGTAAATTTATGTTGTTGATATATCGAACATAGGCCAGGCAATGGTTCTTTGTATTTTTCACATTTAAAATTCCATTGATAACTTCCCTCTCCGTTACTGCAAATTAAAAAAATCAAATAAGTTATTATTTGAACTGCTTGCAAAAATATCCATTATTTATTCAATGGCTTTTTTTTTATTGAAATCTTTGATTGGAAGTGGTAAGTAATATTTGTAATTAAGCATAGATTTTTATTTTTTTCTGAGCGTCCACATCACTGAAGCGGAAAAGATGATACATTAGTACAACAGAGATGGCTATGTGTCTATATGTTTGTACTCAAAACGTTGGGAGCGAAAAAAAGTTTGAGGCTACCAATAAATTCATTCTCGTTTTTTCTTCTGTTTTGTCTTATAAAATTCAAATTCAATTCTGCATCTGAAAACCTGTTGAATATCTGTTGATATGGAAACCATTTGGTTAAGATATGATTCTTTGAAAATGTCGGGCAAATCTACAAACAGCAACTGATGTGAATGTTTTATACTAAAAATTATGTGATGTTCTGAATAATCGTGAGTTTGGAATGGTTACCCGTTTTCAATCATTTTATCTTACGGTTGAAGAAAAAATGCAGAATTTTCAGAGGTTGCCGAAAGAGAAAATGCAGCTTATCTCAGAATTTTATCGACTTTTTTTGCGTCTGAGATAATTTCAATATCTAGGGCCTAGGGGGTTCTAAACCCATAAGTCGAAGAATTGAGAAAATCATCAAAAACCCAAGGGAAAAATGTCTGGACCAAGCATTCTAGCATTTAACAATGTGTAATAATGGTGGGCCAAAAGTTATCCTAGAAAATAGCTGGAAACACTGTGCGACAAATTTTGGGTAAAAAAAAGTAATTGGAAACGACCACCATGGCAGTGTAGTGCTTCTATGGCATAGCAAAACCCACCGCGATAGTCTCGATCATTAAAAGTCAAACCAACAACGCCAAACATTTTGACGGGAACTACATTGATGGGTGTATTCAATGCAGTGTCAAACATAGTAGTGTTGTGTGGTGGAATAATAATTATTATTTGAATTAAAAAAAATAAAAATGTTTCGATTCTGCCAAATAAAATTGTGCTGGCACACAAGACAAGAAAATTGCTTTCTTTCGGTAGGTTAAACCCGTATTTAAAAAAAATTGTTTTTATTTCATTTGAGTTGTATGAAAGAAAATTACGGTTTTATATGATATATTGGAGTTTACATAATTAAAAAAACACAAAATGTTAGATTCAGAATATAAACTGGTTCGTGGCAGAATTGTTTTTTTAATTTTGCAGACCATACTGAGAAAACGCTTGCGTTCGAATAGAAAACTACACTGAAACAGAAGTCGATTTGACATTAGCTGTCAAACCGGCAAGATGAACAAGTGCGTTTGTAAAGTGAGCTCACTTCGTGTCAGCAGGTTTTGGACGAATTTCATTTTGCAAATGATGTTGTTGTTATTGTAATGATACCCCCTCGGCAAAACCCTTTGTTATATATGATTTTCGCAATATTGATGTTCGTAGCTGAAAAATAAGGCTAATGCGACCTGCTTATGTCATCTGGTAGGGTACTTATGGCTGCCCGTGCGCAAATAAAATGACTAACAGTCACTCAGTTGCATGTAACTGTATGTAGTGATACACAGCAAAACATTTGAGTGTAAAGTTTACTCTTGAGTTAGGTTAATATAGCGGTTTCAACTATTTTAGGGGAATTTACACCGAATTTTGGGTAAAATGAGTTGTTTTCTATGCGTCTGTCCGAATGGCTGATGTAGGAATAGAAATGTTCTACGCGTAAGTAGGATTTTCTACGAGATTTCCGAATATTATAGTGATTTGGGGCCAAAAGCGGGTTTCTGCTCTGTTTTTGCCCTAAAATAGTGATTTTCGGTGATTTTTCGACTTTTTCAGCCTCCCCCTCCCTTCCAAAGGGGGGGGGGGGGGAGGGCGACCCCAAACATTGTTATTTTTTGATTCGCTGGAGTCTGGCGAGAATTTTATCAGAACACTTCACCAGTGTCAGACCACCTATTTGGTGTGAGAAAAAAATAAGTAGTCGAAAAACCATGAAAAAATGGTAAATGGTGAAAACACCGAATTTTTTTCTCACAAAATATGAGGTGGCGGATAGTTAGGGAATATCGAAAAACTCAAGAATTTGAGGTGGGCCAACTTTTAAGCCCAAAAATTGGAAAAACTAAAACCACTATCTAATTGACTTTTTTCACATTTTATACTTTGAACCCACTTTTCAGAGCTTGAATGAGCCCGGATGGGGTTGTCGTAGTGGACTTTTTTGTAGCCCCATCGATTTTCTATCCAACCATGCATATAGTTTTGAAAGTTTGTACCACACTTTTCTAGTGTAAAAATGTCAAAAAGTGTCATTTTTCATTTTTTTCAATATTTGGGTCACCCTAACTTTTCATCAGGTGGGGAAGGTCACCCTAATTTTTTGGCTTTGCGAGTTTTTGGCCATAAGAAGTTTATACACCAAGTTTGAGCGAAATCGGAGAAGTCACTTGCAAATTTTGTCCCGCTTGGTGTGGAATGGTCGTCGAGACAATCACTTTTAGTCAGTCAAAATGTCTCAAATTAATCGACTGACTCAGTCATCCAAAAATTTTCCACATGGGTGCCCAAGCGAGGATTAGTGCCAAAATAGTGCAAAAAATGAACATGCCATCACTGGCAACTTCCCAAGCCATAACTTTCCAACTGGGTATCATAGGTAACTTTCCAACTGGGTATCATAGGTAAGTCGTATTAGCCATATTTGTTAGCTGTGAACATAAGCTTTAATGTAGCATACAATAAAAACTAAAATATGGCCGTTGTCATGACCCAATGTGGCCAAATGTCTACCCAACGCTCAAAAATTGGTCCAAAACTTGAAATTTCCCTACAAATGAGTGATTTTTTCCAGTAGACTAGCCTGAAAACAAGTTCCCATTATCTGCAGAGACACTTCAATGAAAATCCAAATAAAAAATATGGAAAGTTATACAGCTATTTGCATGAAAAAGGCCAAAGTTTTCAACAAAATGACCATTTTTGGTACCAAAGAGTGATTTTTAGTCAAAAAGGTAGATAGAACATAATTTTTCTGGGTTAATATGTTCAGATAAGTAGTTCAATTCTACGTTGACTATAAAACTTTCAAAGATAGTGGCCATAAAAAATGAATGCGTTGCGAGTAATGGTCGAAAAATGGAAAAAATCGGCCATTTTTTCGACATTTTTGGACTCTTTGCTACAACTTTGCTTGAAAAAGTAAGACGATATCTCCAATTTCGAGTTATTGACCAAAAAGTGATGACATCAATACTGCAAAAATCATATAGAACGAAAAAATTACACAGGCCGAAAAAAACAACCTGAGCCAAAATCGCAAAAGCCATCAAGGGTTTTGCTATGCCATAGATACTTCACTGCCATGGTGGTCGTTTCCAATTACTTTTTTTACCCAAAATTTGTCGCACAGTGAAATAAACTGAAAAAAATCAACATCTCTTCTACCTTTCTTTTAACCTTAAAGATCTTGGTGGCGATGAACAAAATGAATTCCATGTTATGTGTTCTTAATATGAAGATCTTATTTTTACCTGACATGAAATAGTTGTGCATTTGGTCTTTGTCAATTTTTCCAGCTGAACTCAAGGACGCTGCAGATTTTCTGAGTATTTTTTGCATTTTGCCCAATGTATCCCACCAAATAGCTTGATCTTCAGCTTGTAATTTCGGTACTCTCTGGAAAAACAAAGAAATTAGCTTGATATCAAACAAAAAATTAGCGGGTACCTCTCATATAAAATTGTCGAAATTTTGTCTAAAATTTGCCTAACATCACTCATTTTTCACCAAAATGAATCAAAAATCGATGTGAAATCGATTGAGTATAGTTTATTCGTGTTTTATTTGTTTAATACTACAGCCACAAGGCAATAAATATGGTGAAAATTGCGATAGCAGCGAGTAAAACGTGTATTGGGTCTGAGAATTAATCGTGTCGATTTTTCAAAAGATGGCGTAACTTTGCATGGTTGTATCGGGCAATACTTTTTTCTTTTTCACATGAGTGGTCTAGTGTCAAACTACAAAAATCATCATCTATCATTTCATCGAAGTTTGGATAAACATTTTTTTTTGCGCCTTAAATATGTCAAATTTTTTACCGAAAAAGCAACATTTCCCGCAAGCATTAATTTTTTGCTTTCATTTGAAGAAAACTGCGGCTGAAGCGCATCGAATGTTGGTGGAAGCCTATGGTGAGCATGCTCCATCGGAACGTACATGTGAACGGTGGTTTTCACGGTTCAAAAGTGGTGATTTTAGCACGGAAGACAAGGAACGTCCCGGCCAGCCAAAAAAGTTTGAAGATGCGGAATTGGAGGCATTGCTCGATGAAGATTGGAGTCAAACTCAAGATGAGCTTGCCAGAGCATTGAATGTTGACCGAAGCACTGTTGGATATCGTTTAAGGGCCCTTGGTTTCATTCGCAAGTTGTCAAATTGGGTACCACATGAATTGACGCCAGCGCAAGCTGAAAGGCGTTTAGTGACTTGCGAAATGCTGCTCGCAAGGCACAAAAAAAGAGGTTTTCTGTATCGAATTGTCACTGGTGACGAAAAATGGATTCATTACGATAACCCCAAGCGCAAAGCATCGTATGTTAAGCCCGGCCAACCAGCAACATCACAGCCAAAACAAGAAATTCACGGCGACAAGGTAATGCTGTCTATTTGGTGGGATGAGGAGGGAGTGGTGTATTATGAGCTGCTGAGAAGTGGTCAAACCATCGATGGGCCTTTCTACCGACAACAATTGATACGTTTGAAACAAGCAATCAAAGAAAAACGCACGAAATGGGAGACCAGAAAAGAGACATTGATTTTCCTACATGACAATGCTCGGCCACACATTGAGAAATCGGTCAAAAACTACTTGGAAAATAGCGGATGGGAAGTTTTGGCTCACGCCCCGTATAGCCCAGACCTGGCTCCTTCCGACTACCATTTGTTTCGATCGATGCAAAACCATATGGACGGAGAGCGGTTCTCTTCAGTTGAAGAAATCCAAAATTGGCTCGATGCATTTATAGCCTCAAAAGATGAGGAATTTTTTAAGGCAGGCATCCGTCAATTGCCCACATTGTGGCAGAAGGTCATCGCTTCCGATGGACAATATTTTGATTGAAATGTAATTTCATTTTGGTATTCAAATAAATGTTTGAAAATTTAAAAAAATCGACAAAACTAATTCCCAGACCCAATATATTTCATCAAAAATGACTGAAATCGATTGCTTGGGGCCAGGGGGATTGGAGATTGACAGTTGAGCTGCACAAAGATAGAAATGTCATGTCATATGGAGACGCCATTTTTATATTTGCTTGGAGCGACTGGAGCGGTCATACATTTCTCATTCATTTTTTTTTCTAGAATAATATTATTATAACAAATTAATTTTTGTTCAAGTGTATCTTATTTTCATTATCTTTGTTTGGCACAATTATAAAATCATAAAAACATAGTTTCATGAGACATAACATGCGTGTTAGAGCGGCCATCGAAATTGATTACAATAGTAGCCAACATTGATTACATCAATAACCAATATTACAGTGTAATAATTTCAACACCCAATTACATTTTTATTCCACGTTTTTGCAAACATGAAGTTTAAAAAGGCTAAATAACACTTTCGTATTAATAAAAATCAAAGAGCAACTCTACAAATTCACCATGGAGCGGCAACACTCCGAATTCACCATGGAGCGACTAATATTGTTTTTCAAAAGAAAAACTATAATAAACGAATTTGAATTGTCTGAAATTAATTTAATCAATGAAAGTAAGAATATTACTTTTTTATACATTTTCATTAGTTGAATTTTTTCTTTTGGTATATAATACTAGCCGCTCCATGGTGAATTTGGAGAGTTGCCGCTCCAACTGGATCGGCCACAGGTTAGTTTTTACTGAGGAATCAATATTTGATTTATCTCTTTGATGTTTTTAATACGAAAGTATTATTTGGCCTTTTCCACTTCATCTTTGAAAAAACATCAAATAAAATTGTAATTCGGTGTTAAAATTTTTGCACTGTAATATTGGTCATTAATGTAACCAATATTGGTTACTATTGTAATCAATTTCGATGGCCGCTCCAAGAACGCGCATGTTGTGTGTTATGAAACTATGTTTTTATTATATTCCAATTGTGCCAAACAAAGGTGATGAAAAAAATAGTGACACTTGAATCAAAATATTTATTATGTGCTATTTGCTCGCTGGAAATTTCAATTTTTGTCGGAAACGGAACAGTCTAGTTCGCAGCGAACAAAATCAAATGTAGTAAACATTAAGTCAGGCGCCGCTGATCTGGAGGGCAATATGAATTTTGTACTGTGAATGCGTTAAAATAACGCTTCAGACGCCTGAATTAGCAAACTCAGCTCAGCTCAGACCTACTCAGCAGCAAATATGCAATCTCTGGATTTTTTTGACAAATTAATTGGAAATTTAGCAGCATAGTGATATAGCCATCCATTGAGTTAGTGATGCAAGGACCTGTTTAGATTTGACGCAAAACTTCTCTTCAATTTATCACCTCTTTATGGGCCGTTATTACAATGTTTAACGCTCCAGTTAGTATAGACTTTTTTTCCAAAAAGGATAGCCTTTTCCAAACGTGTAGTTAGATTACCTTGGAGCGTTGACAATCGGCGTTCACTAGACATTTTCATGTTTGGTCATTTGGTTATTCATAAATTGAGTTTTTCTTTTGACTAGTCGATAACCAATATTTATGTAAAATCAAACTATCTATACCCTTAACCTTTTGACTGTCTTTCCTGACATTTTTGTCAGTCGCTCCGAAAATCTTGAAAATAGTACTTTTTTAAAATTATTTTTTGATGAAACTCTAGGTATGCTCTTTTCGATCATTTTTTTTCTTAATTCCCAAAAAAAGTGAAAAAATAAATCTATTTTCCTATGAAAACCCAGCCCGAAGCAAAAAAGTCATTGGCTGTCTTTCCTGACAAAAATGTCAATATATATTTACGGGGCCGTAGCAACGATTTTTGCCAGGAAAGGGTGGTTCCACTTTACCAAGTGATAGCTCGCCCCAAAAAAACAACTATTTCGAAAAAAAAAAAACTGGGGGGGCTCTTGGAAGTTTACGGAGTTATGGGGCAAAAAGGCCAAAAATCACGAAAAATCACGAAAAATCAAAGTGGTCCGATTTCGATGAAAATTGGTACACGGGATAAGTGAGAAAATATAAGAACTTTGGCACTAAAACTGGTCCAAAAAACTGGTAACTCCGTAAACTTCCAAGAGCCCCCCCAGATTTTTTTTCGAAATAGTTGTTTTTTTGGGGCAAGCTATCACTTGGTAAAGTGGAACCACCCTTTCCTGGCAAAAATCGTTGCTACGGCTCTGTATATTTAAACCAATAAATAAAGTTGAAAAAAAAGTTTTTGAGCAAAACGAAGAATACCACGTTGAAGAAGACGCTCTCGTGATCTCAAAACCATATTTCGTTTCATTGGGTTACAGTATGATTTAGTGCATTTTAGTTTTTTGAAAGATTTTTTGGAAAGCTACTGTTCTCTGAGCACATTTAAGGCTGTAACTTTTTTTGTAGAATAGCTATCACCAAAAATAAATTGCCTCTGAATAGTGGAATAAATTACCATTCAAACGCGCTATAAATTATTAGTATCGGTGCAGAAGTTAGAATTTTATAGACCCTAAATATGAGGAGTGAACAATAAAACTAGTCTACTTCACTAAATACCAGGCTAAATATACACAAAATAGAGAATAGTTTTTGCCAGTTTCAAAGTTTTATCATAAAGAGCATTGAATTTAGATAAATTAAGACATAGTTTGCTTGCTATACGTCCACTAACAAAGAGGTGACATCTGTTCAAAAGCGCTCGCGCACGTCAAAAACCAAGGAAATTCCAAAACTGAATACAAGCCAAAAATGATGTTCCAAAAAGTATGCATATATATGTAATATATATTACGTATAAAAGCCGAAACTACTAAAAACGAAAAGAGAATGTTGTATTTTATTAATTATGATGAAAATTTAAAAAAAAACACTGGATTTTTTTAATTTTTCCCGTACATTTTGTGGGTGACAAAAATGTCAGGAAAGACAGCCTACGTTTCATTTAGGTAAAGACAGTCAAAAGGTTAATTGTATAAAAATCAAAAGATCAGATTGGAGTCATGTTTCTGCAAAACTGAATATTCAGCCAGATTTTTGATGGTATTAATAAATACAAATACAAATACAAATACAAATACAAATACAAATACGGACCTTGTTATTGAAATTCACAAGTATTGATGATATTGGCTGGAGCACTGATATTGGCGGGACTGCGTTACTATCTTTTTTATACCACATATCAAGCAAACTCCCGTCAACATTCAAAGCGGTTAGTTCATCACGTAGAAGCTGAAGCTCAGAAGAAAGAATGTATGTGGGTATTGGACGATAACCATATTTTTGTCCAAGAAAAACAACGAAATTTGGGCCCATCGACAGTCGTTGACAGTTCTCTATTTCCTTCATGCAAAGTTCCGTAGTCATATGATCATCTGTACTCTCATCACGAACCTGAAATACTTACTCAAGTAAAGGCTTCCTTAGGAAAAATTTTGGCAACTTACCCCCCATCTCATATCGACCACCTAGAAAGTTATATGAATTGTTGTGAATTTGAGTTGAAGGGAAAATAATAAGTATCGATTTTTAATTCGTCAAGGACGATTGAAAATTTGCGAAGAACTATCAACATTTGTTTGTTTCCACGGAAACGATATTTCGAAATATGTTTTTGTTTTGACGTTCACACTCGAAAGATAAAATGATAAGGGTGATGATCATGATAATGGTGATGGTGATGATGATGATGAGTGATAATGAAAAAGAAATAATTACAAGTTTTTCAGTGAAATGTGTATTTTTTCATTTGAATGTATGATATTGAATTTTTGTTAGGGAGATACATAAAAAATGCAATTTTTCAGAGCTTTGGTAGCTGGGAACTATTATTTTTTGATGAAATAATGAAGATCCAAAATTACTCCAACACTCTGTTTATGGTTATTTTGAAATTTAATCAAATTTTACCGCATTTTACTAGGGAGAAATGAGTCTTTTTTATGTGGGTGGAAATATGCTATCTCCAGAGTTTGCGAAATATGGATGCAAATGTTTTACGGAAAAAACATTAATTCCCCAAATGATAAGAATCTAATAATGGATATATTTCTGGAAAAAGTTGGATTACCAAAAAAAATTGCCTTACACAAGTAGTGTCATCAGATAAAAAAACCTCTAGACGAGTTTAAAATGGAGTGACGCTCCTATGCGTGGATTTACCACGCAAAAAACTGATTTCATTTTGAGTGACGTTAGGACGCTATATTATCTCTAGATATAAAGAACATGGATGTTTTCGCCATCTTTATTATGAAAAATTTTGCAATATACAGATCAAAACTCTTAAGTCTGACAATTTTTACATATGGCGAATCCCTTATGTCTAGGTTTAGTGCTCATTTAGTGCTATTTAGTGCCACCAATAGATTTAGTGCTTCAACTGGGAGCGAGTTTTGGGCATCGGCGTTTTGGGGGATGACGAAAATAGGGGTAGTAAAAATAAACTTTTCCCATGTCGAAATATCGGAAATCTGATGGTACCACCATTTAGTGCTCATTTAGTGCTCTGATTTCAGATATACTCCACAACCCCTTCGATTTAGCGTGGGGGTGAAATCGGGGTGGATTTTGCACGAAAAGCTTCAAATAGAGATGGAAAACGCCGAAAAAAGGGCCGACTTCTGAGTGGCTGCTGGCGGCGGCCACTAGCCAAGGATTATTTTCAAAAATTGACTAAACAAATTTTAGAAGTCCAAATTTACACACCCTGTATATATATTTATTATTATTAATAAATTAATATTGAGCCTGTACTTGGCGGTGTCAATAAATACAAACAATTTATCCAATGTAAATTGTCATGAATGAGAATGAGCCAAATACTATATTCAATTGGTTGGTGATGGTATATTTCATCTTATTATGACACTTGAACAAATAATCCAAAGTTCGTTGACCACATATAGTGAACAACCTGGTTATTTTATATTTAAAATACTAAAGTCACTGTAAATGCAATGTCGCGTGATTCGTTTTATAAGCATTCGACCGATTCGATCCTCTTTCCATATCGCCGTTGTGAGTTATTTCATTTTCAATTATTGGTAGCTCGAAAAGAAACGATTGTTATTTTTAATTGAAGTATTTGTGAGGAACCAAATTAATTTTTCGAACATCTTATGTGTAAAGTGTAAACAATTTGGGCAATTTCTAAGAAATCTCAAATGGAAGTATTTCATCACATCAAAATGTGCTCTGAATTTACTCTTAAATGAGCACGCATTTAAAGAAATTGAGGGCACATTTTTTTATTTTTCATTTTATTCAACACCGCCAGGCTCTGGCTGAATATAATAGAGGTATGGATTAGGGTTTGGCCGGAAAAGAGTGCAAGACTGTTACATCAATTTATATAAAAATATACAATGAATGTGTATTTCCATTTGGGCAGTGTGTATATATGATCAAATCATGATTTTCTTGGTTCAAAAATTTGTTATAATTTTTTATCTGTATCAGTTCTGCTATCATTTCTGTTCGATCATGCAATTTACCTGAAACTCTAGACCATGTTTCTCTCGGCAATAGTCCTTAATTCGCGGATAACATTTCGCCATCAATGTATTACGTTCCATCGTTGTATCTGTTTGTAAGAAGTTTTGAATAGATGATAGAGTGGAAAAAGGTTGAGCCAACACACCCTCAATTTCAAATGGTTAATCAATGCAATTTAATCATTTATTTAGGAATTAATGTATGTATCGACTTCATTAAATTGATTTTACTTAAACATATGAATATCGTTGGTACTAAATGGTGTTTTGAGGAGAAAAGAATACTTATCCTTTAAATCTAACGTTCTTCAAAAAGAGTGTATCAAACAAAATTCAATAGACAAATTAGTCATTAGCATTGAATTAATAACCAAAAAGCATTGAATTCGCAATCAAAAGTGAAACAATTCTGAACGTTCGTCTTTTATATGTTTGTCATTCACACTTTTTATGTGAAGTGGCTGTTATGTAAGAGAAATTGCGCGAAAAGGAAAGTTCAGATTCAAACCCTAATTTATTTGACACATTATAATCAATAAGATTATTGAACTATTATATCACTACCAAAAGTCCTTTCCAGATAGTAAGGACGAAGTTTCTCATTCCAGATAACTTAAACATAGTTCAAATAATTCAACTCTGATGGATAACCGATAGTGCAACTATATATACCGTTCTACCAAGTGTCTTATTGTTTTTACCTGTAAAAGTTGAACTTGTGAAAATTCGAACAATTTTAGAACTAACTGGTGGCAAAGACTCTAGGGAGCCGGCAAAAATCAAATCAACAGTTCTGTCATCCATTGCAAATTTTCTTCTAGAAATGTAATTAATTTGAAACACTTTTTTTATTTGATTCCTTCATTTAACAAAGAAAGCAAAACTCGCGGGAAATCGACACTTGACTAAAATGTGGAGCTATAAATTCATTGCATTCAGACATTATTTGACTTGAATGTTTGATCGATATATTGTATGACATGCATTGTATGCATGAAAGTATCATACTATGAGACAATGTGCGCACGAGTGTTATTTCCGTCGTATTCGATAAATAAATTTACCCACAATGTTATCATTTTTATACAAACGAACAAAACAACCTCCAAACACTTACAATAAATTGATAAATTGAGTATGGAACCGAATATTATGAAGTGTGAGGATAAATTCTTAACGTCTTCATACCTGTAACCTTTTAATATCAATTAAACATATGTAGTTAAATCGTACAATGTTGTGTTTTTTTTGTAATATTGATTAAATTTACGTGCAATGTTAAATCAAATCGTGCGAATGTCGGCTGAAATTGAAAGACGTTTTTTTACGATCGTTTGCATGTTTTTTATTCGCTTTGAATAATATTAAATACATTAGCGTTTTATATGTGAATTTCCGCAATGAATTTAGTTTTTGCTATACTGATCCTCTCATTGTTCTGTACTGTTCGGTTTCTCTTTGTTGAATAATGTAGGGTGTATACTATTTAAATTTGGTATGGCGGAGAGAACAAACTGATACGAGCATTAAAGTATAAACAAAGAAATGACGAATAGCAGAAAAATTAAGAATAAATCTGTTTCGCGTTTGCGTCCAAAAACGTATCGATGCGTATCTTTTTTTATTGATTGGAGTCAATATTATTGCCTCTTTGTAATAAAACTTTGTGTGCTGTTCGCATCGTTCTTATTCTAAATTTGGAATCTCTTCGTCGTCGGAGTCTTCTTTTTCTTCCTCATCAAAATCATCAAAGTTTGGTTTAGAAGCTGCTCCTGAATTTAGGTTCGCAAACCTAAAATAATAATTATTGATATTATATATTAATATATTAATTTATATTATTATTGATTTATTGATATTACATTTCCTGCATGTTACCAAAGCCACCACCACCAGCAGCATCACCACCTTCCTCTGTTTATATAAATAAAATTAAAAAATATTACGTTAGTTAAAAAAATACCACTGAAATATTTTTTAATTTAGTATAAGAATGATGCACAGCTTTGGTTTGTATTGTTGAAATTACAATTTTAATCCACCATTTTGAAATGCATGAAAAGAACGGTCTGTTTTATTTACCATCATCGACATCTGATTCTTCATCGCGCCACTTATTGAAGTCGGCTTTCAAAAAGTGTGGTTTCTTCTTGTCATTGGTCAGTGAAGCCCAGTAGGGTCCAGATTCAGCTTTCTTTATTGTAAATTCAATACAACGCGCTGTATTTTTGGTCGTTACGTTTTCTGGGTTAATTTTGTGCAGGAAATTTAACGTTACTTCATATTGTTTACCGGTCTCCACAGAACTACCCTTGAAGTACAACGTATCTTCTGTAAATCTGTTTGGAATATAATGAAATTTGTATAAGAATTATGATTATGCATATATTTTAAGAAATGGACATTTTCAAATACACTTACTTGAAATCTACGTCTTTGCATTCAGCTGATACGGTGACAAACAAAACATCAGCTCTTTGAGCCCATTCCATTGGGGGTGGTACTACTCTACAAATGTGAAATAATTTTTTTTATTATTTTTAACGCATGTACAGGTTAATCAATTTGCGGTGGAATAGTTTGAAAAATAATGTGGTTATGTATATAGCACATAAATTGAGGTTATGCTAACATAATCATCGGAATTGTGCCTGGGGTAAGTAAATACATTGCTGGTGTTTGCTAATATTGCGAACCTTATTTTTGTTCTGAATTATTTTTAATGATATGTTCAAACAAAAAATTATTTTGAAGCGGCAACAAAATATATAGATAAGACGTCGCGCCGAAAATCAGGACTGATAAAATTGATTTTGAACATAAATAAATTATACTAGAAGTATTTTGAACTTGGTCATTGTTGATTGCGGTATTTGATTCAATTTCCCTTTATAATCAGTAAATCATTTTTAGTAATGGTAAAAAAATTTGCTTCAAATATATCAATTTCAAGAAGGTTCTCGAGTATATTTTGCATTGCACAAATATATAGGCAAATTGTTAAAGCTGCCGACTTGTATGCAAAATGGATGCTTTGCACACACATACACAAACACATACACACACAATGTTTTTCATATAAGAAAAATGCTCTTTCTAAAAAAGATAGTGAAAAGAAATGTGTATGTGTTGGTGTTAATACGTTTGTATGGTAACCGAATGGTCGTATTATAGAAAAAACAAGAAACTTCTACCGACAAATTATCATCGTCGTGGTTGTTTTAGAAAACATACTTTTCTTTTTAATTTAGAACACAAAAAAATCGTCTTTATTCAACTTACATCGTTTCTGGCATGTTTTCGTCGAACGTCAAAAATAGGAAAAGCCGAAAATTACGTTTATTTCACACTTTCAAAATCTGCGTGTTGCAAATGAATCCACTCTTTGAACGCGGTATCTAAAACAAAGTGACTCGTTACTGTCTCATCACACAACTAAAATAGCTGCTGAACTGTCTCTATCGCGTAATATGTTTGAAGTATGATGCTTGTAATAGTGTTGCCCGCTGATGCGATGTTTTCTAAAGGGGAGGTGTACTATGTTTCCGTGAGAAATTTCTATTTTCATATTTTAAGACCATGTATCAACAAATTTTCAGCTTTATTTTCCATCAAAATAGTTAATTACAATAGTTCTAATTCTACTTTTTCACATTATTCATTGTTGTCATTGAATGATAATATGCGATGATTTTATGTCAAATATTTAAATGTTACACTCAACAATAGTACTAGATGTCAAAGTTCTCTGGAGCTGTCACTGTCATATGTTGATTTTCAGCTCAAATTTTCTTCACCAACGAAATTTATTTCAAGGGAAAAATATTGGTAAATATTTTTAAGATAAATAAATCATTTTTTTGGATTGAATATAGATAATTTATTCATTCAAAAATAATGTATGTTTGTTCTTCCATAAGATTATTTTGAAGTGGTTACTGTTCAATGCGAAATTTTATATAACATGTAATGCAATAGTATCTAATCTGAATGATTGATCTGATTCTTTCGTAGATCTATAATATGTTTACCAGACTATTAAAAAGAACTGTGCTATTGTCAGCAGCACCAGTAACAGCTGCAGCAAAAGGAACCGAAAATGAGCCACAAAAGCAAACTGTCCTTAAACCACATGAATTGCCCATCTATACCACGATTTTTGGAAGTGATATTAAAAAGTAACATAATCAGGCATAAATGACAATTATAATTAATTTGTTAACCACAATTACATTTATTTTGCATTTTCTTTCAACTTTTCAGTGCTCCGAAAACAGATACCGACAGCACAATTGTTCGATCATCGATTGAAGGCGCTGTTGAAGTAGTTCGCGAATGTTGCTGTGACTGCATCAATGCTGTCAAAGACAAGAAAAAGCCTATCGACGAATTTGTTGCGACAGGAATCGAACATAGTCAATGTAGGTTCATTTCAATAATCAAGAGTGTAAAACTCATTTCATAAATTTTATTTATAGTAAACAGTACGTATTTTGCATTAAAGATAATAGGGTGGGCATATTTTGAAAATTGAAGAAACAAAAGATTACAGGGGCGCATTTCATAGATCTTATTGTTCGACGTATTTTTCGACATAAAAGTCATATAAACCTGTATAAAATGAAACCAGATATCGATTCTTCGCCAAAAAATAAGCGATTAAATCATTATTTTATACGGGAACTGGCTAAACGTATATATATATCGAATATGGTAAAAAAAGTTGCTGAAAATCCGACACGGAGTTTCATTTTATATGTCGGCAATTCCACACAAAATCAGAGAAGAGTTGTAATGTGGGGTCGCCGAATTGAATGAAGATTTTACATATAAAACGCTGAATTGAGCCGAAATCGGTAAACCAATTGGTATATTTTTATTTGTCCCGCTGTTGAATGTAGAATAGGGCATTTTTGAAGCAAAAAAAGTGTTTGTATTGGGAGTTGAAAACATCCTCTGGAACAGGACCATTTTTTGACCTTTCAGGCCCTTAAGGCAGGGTCGAGATAGCTCTAGATCGATTTATCGTCCAAAATTACGTGGAAATAGACTCGCAACAGTCCATTATAGGTGAGTTTTCTATGCCATAAGTGTGATTTTGTATGCAGATTTCAACCATTCGCTTTTTCTATGAAGAGATGTCGATTTCGGACCAAATTTATAGGAAAACACATATTCAAATGGTCATATTTTCATGTATTTTGACAAAAAAAAATAGCATTTTTTCCAGACCAAAATGTCGTAGGAGGCCATTTTCGACCATTTGTCCCACAAAAACGCTGAAAAATGACATATGATTCACCTGCCGACGTCAATCACACGAATTCAATCATATTATTACACGAAATTTTATTTTCTTATCTGAAGCGGCGTGACATGAGCTATCTTTTAACGCGAAAAAATCGACAAAAAATATACACATATTTGGGATATTTCACTTTTTATACTTTGAACCCATTTTTGGGAGCCCCGAATGGCGTCGAAAGGAGTGGGTTACAGGCAGTTTTTGTAATCCCATCGATTCCTTTTCCAACGGTACCAGTGGTTTGGCATTGTGTCAACAACTTCTTAGTTAGATTACAGTTGCCGCAAACCCTTTTTTCGATTTTTTCAATTTTTCGGAAAATTTACACTGGGTGAACTCGAAAAGGGCCACTTGCAGGCCTAAGATTTTGGTTTTCTCATTTTCTATCGAAAACAAGACTACAAGCCAATTTTCAGCCAATTCGGCGACCCCACATTCACCGCGATAGTCTCGATCATTAAACGTCAAACCAACAACGCCACACATTTTGACGAGAACTACATTGATGAGTGTACTCAATGCAGTGTCAAACATAGTCGTCATTGTGTTGTGTGGTGAAATAATAATAATTATTTGAATTTTAAATAAATAAAATTGTTTCGATTCTGCGAAATGAAATTGTGCAAATATTCCGCTGGCACACAAGACAAAAAATTGCTTTCTTTCGGTAGATTAAACCCGTATTTAAAAATTGTTTTTCTTCCATTTTCAATTGAGTTGTATGAGAGAAAATACGGTTTTATCACGGAGGACGGTAGTCCGACAAGTGACGCACCATAGACTGTGCATTTCAAGCCAAATATCAAAAATGCCAGTTTTTGCGTCACGAGTATATACAGTCATGGAAATTTAATTAGGACCGGCATTGAAATTTCAGTTTTTTCCCATTAATTCTGTTATTTTACAAAAAAATATTCATGAAATGATGTTTATGAGAATATTTGAAGTTTTTATAAATGGACTAGAATATCAATTTCATTATTTTCGGTAATGGATATCATTTATTGATGAAATTGCCCAAAAACTGCGGGGAAAATAATTAGGACCTTCTATACAAAAAATGACAAATTTTTTCGAAAAATCGGAAAATTTATCATTTGTTTGACAAAATTCACTCCACCGATAGTCGTATTTAACTGAAATACATTTTTTCCACATTACCATTTAATAGATTTCAAATTTCTTAACAAATTCCAAAAGTTACAGATCAAACTATGATTCTTCCACGATTTTTCATACAAAAAATGCTATAAAGTTTAGTTTGGTCTGTTACTTTTCGAATTTGTTAAGAAATTTGAAATCTATTAAGCTAAGTACACAGTTCCTCGTGAAATGAAAAAATTTCTCCGGTGAAATTTTTACAGGTGATATTTGTATGGTGGTTTGTATTTTCGAATTGCAAGCATAATGATTTTTGATGTATGAAACAGTTAACTCCCTCCAATATCAACACAACACATGAACAAATTTGAATTTTGAATTCAAACTTGAATTTATTTTGATCTTTCTTATTTTTTCATGGCCGTGAAAAAAATTTATTTAGACAAAACACATAGGAGAATGAACTCAAAAACCAAATTTTTTCATGTGTCGTGTTGATATTGGAATGAGTTAGCTGATTTATACATAAAAAATCATGATGCTTGCAATTCGAAAATAAAAAACACCATAAAAATATCACCTGTGAAAATTTCACCGGGGAAATTTTTTCATTTCAGAAGGAACTGTGTACTTAGCTTTAAATGGTAATGTGGAAAAAATGTATTTCAATTAAATACGACCATCGGTGGAGTGAATTTTGTCAAACAAATGATAAATTTTCCGATTTTTCGAAAAATTTTGTCATTTTTTGTATGGAAGGTCTTAATTATTTTTCCCGCAGTTTTTGGGCAATTTCATCAATAAATGATATCCATTACCGAAAATAATGAAATTGATAGTCTAGTCCATTTATAAAAACTTCAAATATTCTCATAAACATCATTTCATGAATATTTTTTTGTAAAATAACAGAATTAATGGGAAAAAACTGAAATTTCAATGCCGGTCCTAAATAAATTTCCATGACTGTATACAGTAAATATGCTATTTTCTCAGGGCACTATTTGGGCTCCGGCATGTTAGGTACCGTTGGAAAGGTCTTGGCCCAAATAGTCGGAAACACCATATCCCCCATGCCTAAAGTGTGGTCTAGGTAAAAATATAGCGGTTGGAAAATTTCGATAAATTTTCAAATCTATACCCATATCTTACGAAGGGGGTACCCAGGGGTGGTCTGAGGTGTCCAAGAGAAGCCCCCTCGCCACCTTTCTAACGCCGGTCTAAGTGCCCCGATTGGTTCAAAAACGAAAAAGTTATGGGCATTGGCAGTTTGATCTTGATTTTTTATGAAAGTATTGATTTGTGCGTCCGTTCGTCCGTTCGTCCGTTCGTGTGTCCGGAAACTTTTTTGACCCCCACAGATTCCGGTGCCGATATGCCTAAGCTGTAGCTGGTGTCGGACCACATCGAAACCCGTCCTCAGATTGACATTTGCATTACAGGTAATGCTCGTAATTATTTGAGAAGACCTTCGAAAAGTTCCATACACACATGCCAATGTTTATGTGATATTAAAGAAAAAAGTCGATTTTTATGTAAAATCGACCCCCTTAAATTTCACACCAAACGCGATTTCTCAAAAATCAGCCCGACAATGTTTTACCAAAAACTGAGCGTTTGTAGCCGGCCACCATACCAACAAAATGGCATATGCCATATATGGGTAGCGGACATAAGTTCCCAAACGGACCGGTCCGTGGTCCGTGGTCCGTCGGTCCGCGGACCGACATTAAGTTTCCACGGACCGACAGACCGGACTCACGGACCGACGGACCGGAATCACGGACCGACGGACCGGATTCACGGACCGACGGACCGGACTCACGGACCGACAGACCGGACTCACGGACCGACGGACCGGACTCACGGACCGACGGACCGGAATCACGGACCGACGGACCAAAATCACG